TGCTGCTGCACCGCGGCGCGTCCTGCGGCTCCTGAGACGCCTGCCTGGACGCCTGAGCTGCCTATCTGGACACTGAACGCCGCGAAGGGGTTTGACATGGAAGCACCGGAGGGCGCGGCCCAGTTGGCAGGCAAGGCCGGCGTCCCTCCTGAGGTCGTCAGGTTGTGGACCATGTCGCAGCTGGCTCCTTTCTTGCACGACCCATTCTTGGAGAAAAAGGGGCAAACAGTGCCTGGTGGCTTTGCCGCGCCTTTGGCCGCAGCCTTAGGCTTCGCGTTGGCCTTTGCCTTGCCACCTCCCTTCCCCTTGCCCTTACCTTTCGCAGTGGCAAAGGTCTGGTCACCCTTCTTGGCCGCGAGAGCCTTTCTGCGAAGCTCCTTGTCGTGGCTGTACGGGCAGGCATCCCCTTTCGGGCAATTCCCGTGGTCGCGAAAGTGGAAGCAGATCTTCTTGTCCGCTCCTTTGCCAGCTCCCTTCGACGCAGCGGCAAACGTCTGGTCCGCGCCAGCTTTGGCCGCGGCAGCTGCTCCTTTCGCAGCAGCCTTCGCAGCGGCCTTGAGGCTCTTAATCTCCTTCTGAGCCTCGGCTAGCGCGACCGACGGGTCCGCGCTCTGCGAGCCGGTCGCTGAGTACACAGAGTGGGAAACAGCCCGGTGAGCTGCTTCCCTCTGTTCGTACTCCAAGACGACCTTATGGCTCTCCTCCCAAGTCTGCGGCCCTCGCAGCCCGCCATCCTTCGGATCGCCGGGCCACAACCGCTTGTCGCTCCGTATCTCCTTTTGGAGATACGGGGGCATCTTGCGGAGGTACGAGAGATACAACTCTCGTGGGGTCTTCCCAAGACCCACCGCCTCAAGGTCCGCGATCGATGCCTCAAACAAAGGCTCGAATTGGTGGCCTGTGAGCTTGCCCTTCGCGAGGGAGGCATGCTCACCATCCACGCGGACTTCTCTTTCCTCCCGCGATTCCCCGAACATCAAGTGCTTGTTCTTGATGCGGTCGTACACCGCCTGTGGATCGGAGAGAACCTCTCCCGACTTCCACGCTGCGCGGTACGCGTTCGTGTACGTCTTCATGCGGGAGCCGCGGCAGCGCCCGCGTAGCGCTAGCAGCTTCTCGCGCGCACTCATACCGCGACAGTTGTTGGCCAGCGCGCAGACGTCCTCGAACTCCTCGTAGAACAGGACAACGTCTCGCGCGTCCGACTTGTCGTCGGTCAGCGTCGGCCACGTGAGGTCAGTTTTGACCGTAGTTATGGAGCTTTGCCCGCCCCTCTGCGCTAACGCTTCTTTCAGCGCTTCAGTTTGGGCGGCGAGTGCGGCGGCGAAATCGCCCGCCGGGTTTTGGGACCCGGTCTGCGAACCTCCGCCGTCTGAACCTCGCTTCAGGGCTTCTATCTCCATCTCCAGCGCCGCAAGCTTCGCGCGCAAAGGGGAATCGCCGTCCGTCGCGCCCAGGTCACGGGCCGCGGAAGGACCACCTGCAGCCTCTGCAGCGTGCAAACCTCCACGGTCCAATCCTACCCCCAACCCACTTGCAGTCGCAGGCTGTGGGAGCCCTGGGGAACGCGGCCCCACGGCTTCAACTGGCACATCGGACGGGGAGCTCCAAACCTTCTCTTGGCTCGAGCTTTCTTTTCCCCCCAACGCGAGGATAAGCTCCCCGATGCATTGGATTTCACGCTGAATCTCCTCTGCGTCTTCGGGGTCCTCGCCACCGCGCAAAGCCGCGACCGAGAATCTGGTCCGCAGCCGACGGACCATCTTTGTCGGATGCCAGTCCCCGCCTATCTTGGAGAACTCATCCGCAAGGAGGGTGGCTTTGGTGCTTAAGGCGTCAAGGTCACGGGAGCTCACCGTGACTCCATGCGCCTTCAGCGCGAGGACAATCCGCGAAACGCGCGTCAGGTAGTCCGCGACCGGTTCTTGGTCTGGACGGAAAATCGCGCGCAGCTCCCCCTGCAAGCCCTCTGCGGTGCCTGGCACTGAACCTGCTGTCGACGGCGGACCGGACGGCCCCGCCGGGCGGGACCCTGGTGCCGTAGCAGGGACATAGGCAGCACCGGTAGGGACCATGGCCAGCTCCCTAGCCGCGGCGCTGACGTCCACCCGCGGCGGACTGTCGCCTCCAGCGCCCGAGGCCTCAGGGACTAGCTCGGAGTCCTCTTCTTCTTCCTCCTCATCCTCGTCATCGTCTTCGGCGTCATGGAGGAACTTCATGACTTTTCGCCAGAGAGCCGCCTCTTGCTCTGGCGTAGTGCTAACCCCATCCCGCTTGGACAACGGACGGCTGCCAGTCTCCCTACGCCACTTAAGCCAAGCGACGTAGCTCATCCGCTCGGGATAGGGGACGTCTCCACCCTCGATAGCTTCGAGGAGGGTGACGCCCTCAGCCTGACCTGCTACCTCTGCGGACATCCCCGCAACACAAGGCGAAAAGCCGCGCCTTGGTTAGCAGGCCGCAGGCGTGGCACGCGAAGCGCCGCGCCTTGGTTAACAGGCCGCAAGCGTGGCACACAGTCCACGCGTCCAGGTCACGGACCGCGACAGACAAGCAAAGCAATGCTTGCCCACTCGGGCCGTAGGCACAAGAGCTGTACTTTCCCAGAACAGCCCCCCATTGTGAAGTCGACCAGCACTGGACTTGCACTAAGCCAATGCAATCACAGCCCGGTCACGCTGTTTTACGACTTCGCGAGTTCAAGCACTTGTGCAGCTACGCCTGAGTGCGTCCGGTCGGACCGCACAGCAACCTAAGAGCTACTGTACGACTCTACCGTGCTCAAAGGCACAAGCTCGGTACTTGAGCCAAAATTGGCATTGAAACGAATTGCAAACCTACACATGCAAAGAAAACTACAGCACTGGTTCTGGCAGCTCTGCACATGCAACGTGCGTGCTTAGACCTGCTCACATACTACTACTACTACTACTACTACTACTACTACTACTACTACTACTACTACTACTACTACTACTACTACTACTACTACTACTACTACTACTACTACTACTACTACTACTACTACTACTACTACTACTACTACTACTACTACTACTACTACTACTACTACTACTACTACTACTACTACTACTACTACTACTACTACTAGTAATAGTAGTAGTAGTAGTAGTAGTAGTAGAAGTAGAAGTAGTAGAAGTCGTAGCAATAGTAGTAGTAGTAGTAGTAGTAGTAGTAGTAGTAGTAGTAGTAGTAGCAGTAGTAGTAGTAGTAGAAGTAGTAGTAGTAGTACTAGTAGTAGTAGTACTAGTAGTAGTAGTAGTAGTAGTAGTAGTAGTAGTAGTAGTAGTAATAATAGTAGTAGTATTGGTGGTAGTATTTGTAGTAGTAGCAGTAGCAGAAGAAGTAGTAGTAGTAGTCGTCGTAGCAGTAGTAGTAGTAGTAGCAGCAGCAGTGGTAGTGGTAGTGGTAGTGGTAGTGGTAGTGGTAATGGTAGTGGTAGTGGTAGTGGTAGTGGTAGTAGTAGTAGTAGTAGTAGTAGTAGTAGTAGTAGTAGTAGTAGTAGTAGTAGTAGTAGTAGTAGTAGTAGTAGTAGGTAGTAGTGTCAAGGAGCAGCCGCCGAAGGAGGGGAGGAGAAACCAACCACGGTCAATCTGCAGGCAACAACCACTACTACGACTCCTGCTCCTACTCCTACTCCAACTCCACCCCCACCTCCTACTCCTACTCCTACTCCTACTCCTACTCCTACTCCTACTCCTACTCCTACTCCTACTCCTACTCCTACTCCTACTCCTACTCCTACTCCTACTCCTACTCCTACTCCTACTCCTACTCCTACTACTACTACTACTACTAACTACTACTACTACTACTACTACTACTACTACTACTATACTACTACTACTACTACTACTACTGCTATGCTGCTACTGCTACTGCTACTGCTTACTGCTGTACTGCTACTGCTACTGCTACTGCTACTGCTACTGCTACTGCTACTGCTACTGCTACTGCTACTGCTACTGCTACTGCTACTGCTACTGCTACTGCTACTACTACTACTGCTACTACCCTTTTTTCCGTATTTGACTGTCGTGTCATGGGGTCCATCTCGGAGTTTGCCGACTCCGTGGCTGCTTCTTCGTCTCGTACGTATCGTTATTTACAGTGTTTTCGTCTTTGTAAAAGTTTTTTCCTGTCGTGATTCTGTCTTGTATCTTGGTGTCTGTGTGGTTTTTTTGTGGTCTCGTATCGTTTTTTGCAGTGGTTTTCGTGTCACGTCTGCAGTTCCTGTGAAGGCCTTCGATTTGCTATGTGGGCCTTGGATTTCCTATGAGGGCCTTGGATTTCCTATCAGGGCCTTGGATTTCGTATGAGGGCCTTGGGTTTCCGAAAACGGCCTTCGATTTCGTATGAGGGCTTTGGATTTCCTATGAGGGCCTTGGATTTCCTATGAGGGCCTTGGGATTTCGTATGAGGGCCTTGGGTTTCCTATCACGGACTTCGATTTCGTATGAGGGCTTTGGGTTTCCTATGAGGGCTTGGATTTCCTTGCGTTGTACTTTCATCATTTAAAGTGGCTTTGCCTTGGCTTGGCTTGGGGTGGGGGGTGGGGTTGGGGCTGGTGGGGGGGAGTTCGGGAGGGGGGACTTTAGGGTGTAGGCCTCGCGTTAAGGGTTTTGAGTGTTGGGTTTAGGGTGTAAGGAGTCGAGGCCTCGGGTTGAGGGTTTAAGGTTAAGGCTCCAGGGTTGTGGCTTTGGGCTTACGGGTTTGGGTTTTGAGTTTGGGGCTTAACCCTAAACCCTAAGCCGCAAACCCCAAACCCTAAACCCAAAACTAAAACCACCACTGCTACCACAGTGGGGTCCGATACAGCACAACTTCTGCACGCACGCACACACACACACACACAGACACCCACCCACCCACCCACGCATGGACACGGATACGGACACGCACACCCACATGGACACGCACAGCAATCCTATACTAGCCATGCGTAAAGACATGCAGCTTCACGGAGTCAGCTCCCGCTCCTGAACCAGGCATGCCGCAACGTCAGCATCACTGCACAGATGCTGTAGAAGAGGCGCATCTTCAGACTCCAAGAAGTGTCGACCATCCCGCAGAATGAGCCGAAGCTTTCCCGTGGACTTGCATTTCTCCCGGATGAACTCCAAGAAACTTTCATCCACAACAGTCTTGGACAGCTTTCGCAGAACCTTGATGATCTGCTCCACATCGATGCCATTAGCGATTGCAGCATTCAGGGACAGGGCGGTGATCTGGTACTCATGCATGAGCTGCGGCCTGCTCACAGGCTCAGAGACTGCAATCAAGAAATCGGCCACCTGAGCGGCTTGTGGATGAAAGGTTTCGAAAATAATTCGCCCATTTTCGCTGACCCACAGCGGTCTCCGGGCATGATCTGGCTGCATGGCTCCCAGGCGTTAACATCGTTCCCACAGCAACTAAGAACTGCATGCAGCACATAGGCACCGTTGTTGTTACGTAAGCTGTTTGCAACAAGTGCGATTTGCTACACAAATGCCTGTGGCTACTTGATGTTACCTGTCATGAGCCTCTACCTGGACATATCATGACATACCTTACTTGTTGGATCGTTCCGAGCCCGCCCGAGTTCAGGTCACGACAAAGACCGAACTAAATCGAAAGCGAACAAACGAAAACATAAGAGAACAACACCTCCCCAAGAGTCTCAACAATTTCCAGAAATTCCCTAGCCAGAGTCGGCAGGACTTAAGTAACTTTTCTACTTTGTTGGCTCCGTTCTTCAGCCAGGAACCGGCAGCGATCCAGCATTAGCAACTGTTTTAGCCTAAGCCGAAAGCAAAACACTTTCGAGCAAATTCTATGCAGTCGACCCCTGTCGCGAGTGTAGTGGCTCAAACACATAGCATGTCGGGGTACCGATGTGATTTCTTTTACGTCATGATCCTAAGTCGTACCAGCCTGTACGGCACGAGAAGGTATGGCAGTCAGCCTCTGAAACAATATGGCACTTGAAAGTCACTTGCTTCTCGACCCAAACACGGAAGAATGGTCCTCTACAAACACAACAGGGTTGCGTGAACGAGAAGCCCACCGAGCCGGGCGGGAGAAAGGCAAGGGAGACATTGAGATATGCAAGCTACCCCAACACCACCCAAGCATCAGGCATCAGGGGCTACAAGCATCATGTGCAAGCTGCGCAAGCTCTTCTGCGAACAGTGCCAGCCACTCAGCACTGGAGTGAGACGCCCGAATCAACCTTCTTTGTTTGACGTCGGGACTCTCAAAACATGTTTCGTCTTTACACTCCGTACATTTTCTACATTACATGGCGTCGCTCAGCCCGCAACTTCTGGAGCTACTGGAAGCTCGCCTTTTCGGTTGACACACAAGGTGTCCGGGGATTCTGCGGGGTTGCCGAAGCTAGTTGCCGAACTTAGCTGAACTCAGCTCTGGGCAGCTGTGAAGGCATGGATGTCAGCCACGGACGACAATACACCTGGAGCATTCAAAGCACACTGAAAGCTTGACTTCTTTGATCTTCTTTGCAACAAAAAATTCGTGTCAACCCTCAGGACGCTGCCCTCGATGGCAGGCGCTGCGACAAGGAGCCCAGCTCGGAAGGATGTAAACACCTCAGACCATTCGCTCTCCCCGTTGCATCAATGCTCCGTCACACACCAAGGGTCCCACCTCACACTGCTTTGAAGGCTACCTACCATAATGGTAAGAACAGAACACTTTGCAACTTGCTTCTTTCCTGCTGTCACACCTAATCCCGTGGACAGGAATGACTGGATTCTGCAGCGCACGCCCCCGGGGCCTGATCTCTGCCGCTGGAGCAAACTGTGTCTGGCCTGCAGATTGTGTCTTGCACTTGCTTCAAGAAGCACTTGCGCACACTTCCAGTTTCACGCAGCTTCTTGCATGCTTAGAAGGGGGCATGCAAGCAGTGTGTTGAGCTCGCTCTCCGCCTGGCCCACAAGGCCACTAACAGTCACTAGCAGCGCGCTGCAGATGACAGCTCATGCTTTGGAACCAAGCTAAGCAGATCAAAAGGGTAAAGGGACCTCGGATGTGTGGTTTGTCAGAAAGAATCACGCTCCAAGCCCCTTGATTTGGGCGAAGTGTCTCAGCTTCAGACTGCAAGGTTTGGGTCTGCCACTGTGTTGGATAGACCTCAGCATGTTACAAGTAGAAAGACATGTTCGTAGGACTCGGACACTCATCGGATACTAATCGGATACTCATCGAATATTTTACTGCTGTGCCCGGATGCGGGTTTCCTTGTGGAGGGCGCATGCGGCGCGCACATGGGGCGCATGTGGCGCTCAGCCCGGCACCTGCGGAGCCAAGAGGCGATGCACCACGCCGACCCCGCCAACCGCTTGCCTGCGCTCTTACGTCACGTCAAAGTCACTTCAAAGTCAGTCAGAAGTCAGAAGTCTCTTCAAACTTGAGCGGCTTTGAGTGTGACTCTGTCAAAGGCTTGCTAGCTCCCGATGCTTGTATTTTGTGTGATGTTCCGCTTGCTGAGCTTCCTTGACACATCTTGACACCCAAGACGCTGTCGATCGCTGCTGGGCTACTTTGATGCTTGGCAGAAACAAAGCACGTGGTGCCAGATGCGCTGGCCTTTGAGCGATGGTGCGGTGTGTCGGTACCTGCACACAGGAGCTGCCGTATGAATGCTGTGAACAACACGACGGCGTGCTGATCGCTGCCTGCATCACAGCGAAGCCATGGCCTTCCAGGCTGCGAGCTTGGTGCTTCGCATGTGAAATCATGTAAAATCATGTATCGGGCATCCAAGAACGCAAGCTGAGATCGTTTGAGGGCTGCCATGGCAATGGGGGCTGCCATGGCAGCAATGGGCCTTGCAACTTGCCACGGGCAGAGAAGCAGCTGCGCTCTGCACCTCGAAAATAGAGAACCAAAAACGCCGATGTTGTCACTGAAAGCACAGAACATGTGGCATGCGTGGCCAAGGCATGTTTGAGGGGCCCAGGCTTGATGGTCGAAGGGCGCGCGGCCTCGGCGCAAAAAACAGACACTGCACTACGCCTACACCCAGCGCCAAACTTGACAGAGTGGGCAGGAGCCAGGACTGCGACGGCAGGTCGCATTCCGAGAGGGCTGGGTGTGGCTGGTATGTCTGGTGTGTGCTTGTTTGTGTGTGTGGCGGATGCTTCAAGTCTGTGGGAAGGTGGTTCTGACCTCGCGCACAGGGTCACTCCTGACAGCTGTTCTGCTAGTATCTCGGGTGATCGGGCTGCACCAATGGGAGCAATGGATCAGGCAGGCCTCTGCCACCACTTCCACCTGCATTGCGCTATGCGTTGTCGGCGCGCAACCAGCTCCGGGCAGCTGCACGTCGTGGCTGGTGTTCTGGGCCGCAGATGGCCGCAGTGTGGGTTCCACGCAACCCTTCGAGAAAGCGTCAGTTGTTCAGTGGCCTCGAAGAAGGTGCTTGAAGTCTGGTGATTCGCATGGGGTGGGGGGAGGAGCCTGGCTTTTCCCATGTGCCCAGCAATGGGTGTGGTGGGCGGGAGAAAGGGGTTGGTGGTGTCCTCGCAAGGATGGGATGGTGTGCTGGAAGAGTCCAGCAGGGGAGGCGCTGAGACTTTAACTATCACGATCATGACGTACATTGTTAGAGGGGCGTTTTGGGCGGGGTCTTGAGGTTGGTCCCTGCGGTTGCGCCCATAGAATGGTCGTGTCGGCAAGAGATAGGCAATGATAGGCAACTGTCCCCCCCCCGGTGCCGGCGTGGGTTGCGTGCCTAGTGCGCTGTGTTTATGATACAAGGTTGCCCCCCCCCCCCCCCGGTGCCCTCTGCCCAAGGCTGTGCGCGTCTAGGGTCAGCATGTTCTTCTGCAAGGCATTCTGCCGTGGAGCATCGTCTAAAAATTTGGGGGGGGGGATGAGGAGGAGGGGCTCTCATTAAACAGGAAGCTTGATGAAAAGGGCTTGGTATCCTGGATACATTTTCTCTTCTTCTTCCGCACTCCTAGGATGTAGTCTCTGAAGCTCACCCTCCATCAACTCATGCCAACTGCTTTGTCACATTCTTGGCTCGTCACAGATGTTCAGGTGTTCCTGGCCTGAGGTCCCACATTCGAACTGTCATGACAAGACCGAACTAACCGATGCACAGCGAGCAGCCGCCAAACTCACAGCGGCATGCAGAGGCGCTCACAGCAAGACCTCCTCTCCGCTTTTGGGCTGCCGGGAAAGGGTCGGCACAGCCTGGGCCTTAGAAACAGACATGAAACATGAAAAGGAGCATGCTGGCCACATATGCTCAGTCCGGGGTAATGGCCCCCATTGCAGCATCTGCATCCGGACTCCTGGCATAGCCGACTCAGAGATGCCAAGATCGAAGCAGCCCCTGTCAATCACAATGTTTGGCCATGTGTACTTCGTGTACGCAGCTGATTCAAGCTCTTGGTTGAATTGCTGAGATCGCCTTGGCTCTGCCAAGCCATCAAGAGAAAAGAAAAGGTTGAAATTAATTTGACAGGCGCACAGTCGCAAATGCTCGCACGCAAAATGTAGTTGTACAATGAGCGTTGCGCCAACAGCTTGGCTCTCCGTTCAAAGTTGGAAGCACTGAGCTGTCCGAGCAGTTCCTATGCGATCTTGGCCATCTTGAAGAAATCGTCCTTGGAATAAATCCCAACCGCCTGTGGCGCTCGCGTTTCTCCAATGTTGGCACCTGCCATCTTGCCATCAGTCAAGAAGCTCTTGCCGAGGTGCTCCTGCGCGAAAGTGATCACCTGGAGTTGTCACGCAAAGCATGTGACATGTGTAACTTAACGATACTTTGAAGCTGGTTGTGCTATCCACCCCACACTCACATGGTTACGGAACGTCTTCCCTTGTGACACACGGATCACACGGCCTTGTCCATGGTAGGCGTGGGCACCTCCAGGAGCTCAGCGAGTCCCCGGGTGAAGCACAGACCAGTCGGGACATCCTCCGCGAGATAACGATACGTCAAGTCTGGCATGAAGCCGCCATCCACTTCCTTCATGGGATGGGTGAGTCCGGTGTAGGCGCTGTTTGTGTTCATGGATAACTTTAAAGTGGAGTCGTCGGTCATCTGCCCTTTGTACGAGTCCAGGTACCATTGGTGCAACGTGCACGCATCCTTCAAGTTGAAGCCCTCAATCAATGACTCCACCTTTCGGCACACATCCTGCACTTCATTAGAAAGCCCGAGGAGCACACCCTCAGTGAAGTCGTCAACACCCTGGTAGAACAAAGGCTTTTCAGAAACCTTCTGGCCATCCCACTTCTCAGAACACCATCGACCATACATCACTCCTCAAAAGGGCGTGTGCACGTGTGTGGATGAGAGGTGTTCTATGGCCTTCTGCCTTACCTTGCTACTGCCGATTTTCGACGGGTGCCAACCTGGATGGATGACTTGTCCAGGGTTGCGCAGGCTGATGCCCAAGTTGTTGGGGCTTTTCAGGACCTCCGGAAAGACGCCCAGCAGCCCCTGAAGGGTCGAAATGGTCTTCGAAGCCTTGCTCTCCGGCGTCACCGCAGCCAAGATTTGCGCCTTCGTGCCCAGAATTGTCGCCCTCTTTCCCCACTCAGTGAAGCGGCATGCCCATGGCAGCGTCTCAAAGCCAACGAAGGCGAGGCTCTCAGCCTTCTCCTTCATCTTGGAAACAAAGAGAATGTCTCCTCCTGACCGAGCAGGCATGCAAGCCACGATCGTACCGGGCTTGATGTGCGGGTAGAACGCCTCAAAGTACTGGCCATGCGCAAAAGAGGGAACTGCCAAGATGATGACATCGGCCTTAGCAGAAATGCTGGGATCGTTTGTCAAGCCTTCCGGCATGGACACTACCTTCTTTCCCGTGTCCAAGGTGAGCTCCATGCCCTCGACCTTGTCGTCCGAACCTCCTTTCATGGCCTCCTTCCACTTGGCAGCTTCATCCGCATACAGAGAGATAGCATACGTGTCATATCGAGCAGCGAACATTGCAGTTGCTACCTGGGCCGCATTTCCACCTCCACACACAAGAACCGTGAGGCCATTCTTCTTCTCATCCGCCATGGTTCAAAAGAGGGATGCTGGGGCAGTGATAGCTGAGCACGTCTGGCACCCACACAAGCAGAATCTTGCTACAATGCTTTACTCAGGTGCGTAGTGTCACTTCTCAAAGCAGAACTTCAGAACTTGCGCCAGCCTTGAAGATCGAGGGCCCACCGCCTCTGCCTCGGAAAACCGCAAAAGGGAACGGAGGAGACATGAGGAGACTGAAGCCGTTTCTGTACTTTCCAGGTACCCAGCGCTTGGCAGCCGAATCAGCTGGAGCGGATCTTCATAGCTAACCCAGTAGACCTGCTATCACACGCGGTGTTGATGCATCCTTCGCCAATGTCTCGAATACACTTCACCATACCACACAGTGTCGAAATTGGGATTCCGACAATTACTTACTTCGATCATCCCCACCCCTACAGATACCCGATGTGGGAGCCATTCTGTGGTTCTGAAACAGGTACATAAGTACGAGCAGATTTCTATCGCAGGATTCTCTGCGGGGCACAACAGGGATAGTCGCCGGGACTCTAGGGGTGGTCACTCCAGGAATATTCTTCGGAAGGACTCTTTGCGAAATTCTCTGGGTCGGGACGCTCGGCTTTTCCGGAAGCCCCCAAGCCCCTCAACGTGCGTGAATACTTTTCACACGAGTGAACACAGCTGCAGTGGCACACTCAAGGAATCACAGCATGACCACATGGTGCAATGGGCAAAACAGTTTCACTACAGTTGCAATGAGATATCGCAATCAAATCAAACTCGTAATCACCCCGCCAAAGGATGTTTCGAGAACGCGGAGTTCAAACATGCTTTCATTACGACAAGCCAAAAGACTGTACAAAGCCCAAAGCACACATGCGACCAACAAGCTGCAACCCTCAGTGCACAAACGATCTGACATGCTCCTCAGCCGTGCGCGGACGTACCGCAGTCCAAGGCTCCTGCCGTTTTGACAGTTCTTTACACAAGCACCTAAAGTGCACCTGGCTACAACTGACCTCTATCCTTGGGCACCTCGGGCAGATCTGGAGTCTGCCACACAACACACCCGGATGGTGTGGATTGTGTTTCTTATCCCAACTCACAAGACGTCTCAAGTGAGACCCAAGGTGGCGGCCTGTCTCCGAGAGCGGCCCCTTCAAGGTCCAGAAGCAGCATGAGCAAACAGTCAGGCAATCGTTGCTGTGTCATCACGACTAAGCACTGTCCTTTAAGGACAACATCTCAAGAAAGAATGCCACGCACAAACACGAAGTGGTACCAGTCCGTAACTGCATCCACAGGCAATGGTCAAGCCTCAAGAGAGGTGCTTTCGCAGCATAAATTCTGGTTCCTTCAAACGCATGCAAACAAATCGCGGTCGGAACAAACATTGGGCTCATTCAAGTGTCATCGTGTCCTTCAGGCTCAGGCAGGATTTGCAGTCGCGGATGAACCTGCCCCTGATTCTGATTGGTCACAGTGATGAATGTGAACATGGTGGTCAGTCGTGGGGTCTCCCAAATGCGCCAGGTGTCGCACCCAGGCTTGGCACAGTACGCAGAGGCCGAACCTTCCTGGGTGCTCATCTTGCAAGTCACCATACAGCGTCATCTGAACGATCCTTGCATTCCGCAAACCATCACAGTCATATCTCATGTGGAATCTTGTCCCACGGTGCGGTGCGAACCAAACCGGTGCTTCCCGTCTGACTTGAAGAATGTCATCTGGTCCAAGTTCACGGTGCATCCATGCGGGTGTAATGGCTGCTGGAGGTTCATGAGCACCCTCAAGGTCCTCCGGTTCCTCATCAGGCTGCGCTGCTGCATCTGACGATCCATCGTCAGAGTCATCATGAGCATCGACTAGGCCAAGTGGCTGGTGGTTCTCTGGAATTGTGGCGAAACCCACTATCCTAAGGAACCGACTACCTATGTACCCAACCCAGGCACTTAGATTGGCAACCGCCTGTCTACAACCGCCTCTAAGTCCTAGACCCGCCTGATGGGACCTTGTCATGAATGCCAACGTGGCACACAAGACCACAAGAGTGATCACGGCACGAACATCAACGCTCACTGTCACGACGTACCAGTTCTCATGTGGCTCTAGTGGTTGACTCAAGCTGCGTCCTTCCGTAGCCCCACTCGACACCACTTGCAGGAGAAGCGCAATCACCTTCAAGGCATCACCATGACCCTGGTTCAAACGTCGCGTGACACGCATGAACTGCTTCACCTCCTGCTGTCGCTGATGTTCACGGAACTCAGCAGCTCCTACTCGATCGAATCCCTCGGCTTCTGATCTGACGCCAAAGCAATGACACAAGAATTTGGTTCTGCTTGATGACAACGCCTTGGTCATCAAATCAGCAGGATTGATCGTAGTGCCAATCGCGTGCAACGTTGCCTTGCGGTGCAAACATATGTGGTCCTGCAACCACAGCATGCGTCCTTCAACATGCCGAAGCCGTCCACATCCCTTCCGCGAGACTATTCCTCGCGCCGCACTGGAATCAGTGAAGATGTGGGTCTCCAATGGTTCTCCCATTACGTGCCTCAAGGCCGTCTCGATCAGGATCGCGTCGCAGGTTCCAGACACCATGGCAATGTACTCAGCTTCCCCGCTAGAAAGTGCAACGCATGCCTGCGATCTAGAGAAGGAGTACACCGGAGCACCATTCAACATCAAGCATCCGGCTGACGTGCTCCGACGAGTGGACTTGTTTCCACTCCAATCGGAGTCACAGAACACCTCAAGGACGTGAGCATCCCTGTCTCGGACGACATATCCGTTCCCTTTTCCACAACTCTCAAGGCTCCAGACGTAATCGGCATGGTTGTAAAGGTAGTTGGCAAGGTGCCTCAAACACTGCCACGCTCCCTTGTTCGGCTTCCCACACACGCTTGAGAGTGTTTTCACTGCGAACTGTGCAAACGGCAGGTCCGGCGCCACATAGAGAAGGATGCCAATGGCTTTGCGGTATAGGGCTGAGGATGTTTGGTCAAGCGGCTCGAGCTTGCTCCAGAGCGGCAGTGTGCCCCCAACGGGTAAAGGCGTCTCCTTCGGTCTCTGGCTCACCACTCCAAGCATTGTTGCCAACGTGGTCACATGTTTAGGGTTCGGGTATATGCCCAGGACACCCTGAGCCAACCAAACATGCCGCCGCTTCAGAAACTCAACTTCTTGACCAATGCCCTTCAGGCGATGAACAGTACATCGGTACTTCCCTCGGATGCATGCTTCCAAGCGGTCCAAACATGCACTGTGTCCCACCGCAAGCACATCATCTACATGACATAGTCCGCCTCCGGTTTCATCTGCCCCGCCATCTGACTCAGCTGGCGCTGGGATCCTGAAAAGCGCAGGTGCCTCGATGAGAGGCTCGATGGAGAGGCCTTGGGAGAGATGTTCTTGGAAAGAGTCGAACTCCTTCGCTCCTGGCCGCTGCCCCGGGAGATTCCGCAAGAGCTGGTAGTACTTTCGTTCGGTCCCAACATCAACCGACACCACTGTCTTGACACGCTGCGGCACTGTCAGATATGCATCTGTGATATCTAGCGCTAGAGCCTCCCAGGGCTCTCCTTGTTTCTGCTTTGTCACAAGCACTGCAGGCAGCAGTTTCAAGAGAACGCTGGCACTAGCTGGCGCAAAGATATCGCTGTCGGCCATATTGGTCATCCACTTAAAATCTCTCGCGACAAACCTAGCCCGTCGGAGAAAGGCCTGTCCTTGGCCTTCTGGCGCAGCTTTGATCCTCCAGCCCTTGACCATCTTCGTCGATAGCCACCTGAAGTCATCAAGGTTTGTGCTAGCAGGATCCAACGGCAAAAGGACTCCCATCTGGACAAGGCGTTCAAGTTCGAATGATTCAGCTATCATGTCAACATGGGCCTGTTCCTCTGCTGACAGCATTGGCTCATGATCACTGAAAGGTCGCCACAGCTCATTGGGGATTTGACCAGTTGTGCTTGACACGCTCTGGTCAGGGACAGACTGTGGCATCTCATCTTCTAGTGACCTGACTGACGAGTCGCTCTCTGAACCATCTTCGATGCCTAGATCCTCGAACTTGACGACCTCATCGTTGTGCACTAGGTTCATGATCCTCTGACGCTTAGGACTGGACTCGGGCAACGTGGACGAACGCTCTGGAAGTGCAGCAGGCATATGCTCACCACTAACACCAACCAGCTCAGGCAGCATTGCTTCTGGGGTACCCGGTGCACTAGGGTCGAGACCTAAACCCCCTAAACCTGTGTTCGAGCCTAAACGCTGCTCAACACGTGGCTGGTCTTCACAAACCATGGCGCTTGGTGGAGGTGCACGACTTGGCCGCGGTGTGCCCGGCTGGGCTTTGGTACAGGGATTGCAAGCTTAGGCAACACATTCTCTTGCAAGAGGGAGTTGAACGGACGAAGGAGCAGGCGCGATGTCCTCTTGACCAGGGCTGATCACATCAGCCTCGTTGCTTGAGACGTCGCTCCCAGCGATGTCACTCTCCTGATCCTCTGTCGCCTCAACCTGCTTTGCTTGGACCTGTTTCCTAGAACTGCCCACCTTTCCTGCAAGGAATGAGGCGTGCTTGTCAGGATTGTCGCGCAAGGCTGCGACAAGCGTGGGGTCATATGCAGTGGCGGTCCTTCTGATGGACCTGGCCATCACCAGTCGACCTGCAGAGGTGCAAACAATGTGGCAGTCCGAAATGTCACTTTTCCCCAAAAACAAAGATTTAAACCACCTAGGCTTACCCTTAGTTGCAGACCTTATCCTGGCAAGGACGTACTCCCCATACCGGACAAGCTTTCCGGTGTACGGTGTTTGATGCAAACGCTCCCACGCGGTCAATGCCTGCATGACATTGAAACGCTGCAACAACCAGCCGGAATGCCTCCAGCACCAAGCACGCAGTGGATGTAACGTGCCTATCGTCACACCTGAGTTCTGTTCAAACTCACTCAGCAGGGTCCCAACATGTTGTCTAATCTTCTCGATTGCACCTTCAGCAGTGCATGCCTGATGTTCGCCGGCAGGTGTGTTCTCAACATGTGTCTGCATCCCTATGCGGCTTCGCAGCGTGCTCACAGCCTCGGCCAAACTATTGCATGACGGTTCTGGGTCACACCTCAGAGTGACGGACCGTGCCCCAGATACGACAGCAAACGTGTGATTTCTAAAGCCATGTAGTTTCTGGCAGCCGTGCCGCCTTTTCTCTCAACTGGCCACGCTTGCACCCACTTAGTTGCCGAGTCACACACAACCAAACAGCAGAGCTTTTCCTTGTCCCCATCTTTGCGCGATGTGTAAGCGAAGTCAAACGACAGGGTTGACACAGCTCTGTCATCCCTCTGGCGTGTCTCGTGACGATCAGCTTTGGCACGGTATGAAACACAATGCTCGCACCAACCCCTGTACGGGGTGTGCGTCAATGCATGCTCCTTCTGCTCTGCCTCGCTTGGCAATGCAACCTCAGCTTGCATAGCCGCAGGTCGTTCGGTCATCTCTGCAAGTTGGCTTCTAGCTTGTGTGCTGCGATCAGCTGCTGTTGATCAAGATGCGTCCTGATCCTCTTGAGGATGCTTTTGCCCCCAGATTTGCCCAAACCAAGTGCATTAGCGGCAGACCGCAACGTCGCCAATGTGCACGCCATGCTAAGCACAACGCCATCAACAACCAACGGCTGACTGGCCTCATCATCGGGTTCATCCCTCAAGGCACTGTCCACCTGAACCTGCTCACGCGGTTCAGGCTCTACTGCTTCAGCCTGTTGAGGCTCTCCGTCCTCCATTCGCACATTGTCTGACTCGGGCAAGTCAGACGAACGCTCTGGAAGTGCAGGAGGCTCTCCGGATCCTTCACACACCTTGAGACCAACCTCCTCAGGAGCAACATGCCTCCTTGTAGCGAAAACAAGCACCTCACGAGCAACATGTCTGTCACCAGGAAGCAACGCACTCAGGTTCTCAATTGACTCAAGTGGCTCACACCACTCAATCACTGACCAAACTTCAGGCATGCCTGGTTCCTTCACGAGTGTGCTTCTGTATTCGCAACCCTCACGAGGAAGAGCAACTTGCACATCGATGAACCGCTCACTTGAAGTGCGTAACGCAAACACATCTGGCATGACCTGGTCGAAGTAGTCGCTGAGAGGACCAAGCGACTCGATCGTGTATTCAACAGCACGCACCTGTTTAGGAGACGAGCTTGCAAGAGGTTCGGGGTGTGAGGCGATGGGTCTGCTGGCCGCAGACGCTGCAAGTGTGACTGACGATGCTTCACTCAGAACCCTGATGTAACATCTCGCGGCTAAACTGTTCTGCTTGAAGTACACAGGGATCTGAACCTGATTGTCTGGGCTGCACAACCTCATATTGCCACCAACATGTCGCAACTCGAAACCAGCTCTGTAGAGTTTGCCAACTGCTAGGAGTGGCGACGTCACATGGGGTGCTATCAGGAAGTTCTCCTTGATGGCGGTCACCGGACCTTCCTCACTTGCAGCAAACGTCACTTCAGCACGTTTCGATCCTTGGATGTTCAATCTGGTGCCCTGAGCATCCTGGAAGACGCCATCCTCGACTGCTACTGGCACACCACAGTCTGACATGTTTCCAGGCAAGCATGAAGCATCGGCGCCTGAATCCAGTATCATTTCTACTTCAACGCCAGGGAACTCTCCATGGGCATGTTTCAGCATACGCACATCCCCACACATCGGACCAGCAACTGGCATGTCACTGTTCTGCTCAGCACGACCGCTCAACGATGCATTACGCCAAACACACCGCCTCGGCACGCACTTCTGGAAAACGTTCCACACCCTCAGCATGAAACTCGGCCTGACGTCCTTGTCATGAACCTCATCCACAGCAGGGCTCTCACACTGGATCTCACGCTGAACCATTCGGACATGGCTCACAGCACTCGGTGACTCATCATAGTCCTCGAGATCGAAAGCAATGCGACGGACCTGGGCCTTCGCACCTGCCTTGGCTTTGGCGCTTGCCTCTCCAGAGGCCGCAGCATCGGCTGACTCAGCATTGTCAACCTGACGAACCTTCTTCGGTTGTCGGCAGTCACGGGCAAAATGCCCCTTCTTTCCGCAGTTATGGCATTTCTTGTTGGCGGCAGGATTTGCATTAGGGTTAGGGTTTCGCCCGGCTGAGCCTTTAGGGTGTTGTGGACTGTGGGTCTTACCCCCTTTTCCGCCCTTGGGACTTTTGCCACTATCACCCTTTCCCCATTTTTCCCCCTTTGCCACGCTTACCACCCTTCTTACCACTCGGCCCTTTATTGTTGAGGAGGTCAATCTCCATTGGCGTTGGCTCTTCTACGAATCCACCTCCCTTGCCCTCAGAAAGCCCATATGTTGCTGCAACAGACGCGCTCCATTTTGACGAAGAAGCATCATACCTAGACACAAGTGCTCTGAGTTCACTGTGTGTCCAGCTGTCTTCCATCACGAGATTCACATGCTGACGGAGTTGCCCAGTGAGGCAACGTAGCAACGAAGCAACTTTCTGATCATCAGACAAGGACTGTGAGGCAATCGCATCATACTCGGCCATCGCTTGTTCAAGTCTCAAAACCTGACTCAACAACCCTTGCTTGTTGTCGAAGGTAGGCCATGCATGAATGGTCTGTAAGAGGGCAAGCGCACGGGTCCTTGAGGAAGGTCGCAGGTCCAGAGCAATTTGTCTGTAGGCCTCATAGCCATTGCTCTCTTCTACAGTCTTCAACACCCGCTTAAGGCGATCATTCAACAACGAAGCCATCAACCCGTAAACAATCCTTGATCGGTCCATCTCCCTTTCTGTAAAATCTGTCACAGCCACAGGGGTTTTCGGATTGTCACGAAGACGCTTGAAGTCAAGCTTGAACTCCTTATCTAGGGTGCTTAGGTACTGTTCAAACTCCCACGACCAACTCGGCCAGCGAACCAGCTCTTCTTCCCTAGTCTGTCCTACAAAGACCACAGGGTGCTTTAGGACCTTGCTTAGATCCTTTGCTGCAAGCCCAGTCGGGCTCGTGGGAGAGCTTGGACCTGAACCTGACGCAGCCTGCGCTTGCTGCTGCTGCTGGTTTTGCAGCAGCTGTGTCAACACCTGCTGGTTTTGCTGCATCGCTCCCAGAATCTCAAGCAACCTAGCCTCATTGGCCTGCGTGGAACCTGCAGGTGACGCAGCGGGCCCCAGGGTAGGGCTCTGCTGAGGACTTCCATTTGGGCTGATTTGAGGTCCCGACATGACTCTCACAGAAAATCAAGGATCAAGATCAATGCAAATGGATTTTGCTCCCGGCTGCAGTGCTCTGAAACGCTTTCGCGGCGGTCCCAGGTCTGATGGCTCAGACTGCACAGCAGTGCTCTCTGAGGAGGCACTGTCAGGGAGGGCGGCTCCCTTACACTCAGATGCAGCGACAGGCCTTGGGGTCTCGATAAGCTTCTGGGTCACAGTACACAAGAAAATCTCAAGCAAATCCTTCCGTCCCTTCAGTAAGTGGCAACCAAAAGCAACGATTTCGGCAATGCTGTGAAGGTTCCTCAAAGTTTCCCTGTGCTGCTTTCTTACAAGATTTTGCCTACGCTTGAAGCTCAGCTGCGACAGCGAAGGAGTCTTGGGCTTGGAAAATTGAAGCTCACAGAACCACTCGATGACCTTTCCTCGGACTTCTTTCAACAACTCAGGTGTAGGATTTACGATGTTCTCCCACCAGGGCTCGGTTAACACCTCACCCTGTCCTTCGGACGTCGTAGCAGCGCGGGCGCAGGTGGGATTGCCGTCCACCACACACTATGGCTGCGAGAGGAGGCTGACTACACAGCTAACTCACAAAACAACCCACAACCCAGGCAAGGAAACTTCGAGGCCTGGTCCCTGAACGCAAACCCAAACCAAGAAAACGTGTCACACCCCGACTGCCCTCGGGATAGGATCCTGTCCCGTACGGATACCTCTGTCGCCCACCAGAAGGTAAGGGCACGTAGAGGCTCCGCTACCATGAATACTTTTCACACGAGTGAACACAGCTGCAGTGGCACACTCAAGGAATCACAGCATGACCACATGGTGCAATGGGCAAAACAGTTTCACTACAGTTGCAATGAGATATCGCAATCAAATCAAACTCGTAATCAGTGCGAAATCAAAGCATTCTGTGAGAGAACGATCTACAAACGCATGACATCGCTTTAACATGCTCTTTTAAAGCAAGACATGTTTTCCTCTCTTTACTTTCCAAAAGTGTTCGTTAAATGAAACATTTGAATCAGCTCATTTCAAGTGAAACAAATGTCGAAAACATCATAGTGCACCGATGATTGCCATCTTCCTCTGGGGGCTTTTGTTCCAGGATACTCGGCGGGACTCTCTGCGGGCTTCTTGGCGGTTAGCGTGACTCTCGGAAGGTGAGCCAGGCGAAGAAACTCGGCGGTCCAGATACTCGGAAGGAATATGAGGGGGCTTTTCTGGGTTGGTATTCCGGGAGACTCGGCAGGACTCTGTGGATGAGCACAGCACCCAGACTCGGCGGAACTTGCTGCGGGCTTTGCTGTGGGCAAGGCCCAAATGCTCGGCGAGACTCTCTGCGGGCTTCGCTGAGGTTGGGCACTCCAGCCAAGGCTACTCCGAAGGATTCTTTGCCGGCTCTGAAAAGGCTCCAGGGATGCGGGCACTCCAGGCAAACATACTCGGCGGCCTACTTCTGAGGGCGGCGCCGAACGAACAAACTTGTATGAGACTTTTACGGATCACTCCTACTTCCAGAAGTTGACAGCGTGCCAGCCACCATCGGGCAAGACCAAGCAAACACGCAAGCACGATATTCCAAGACGGGTCTTAAAGCCCAAGATGGACTTTTTGTTGGTTCAGCCGCTGTCAGCTACGTGAATCACATTATAGCGGATGTTTTCACAAAGACGGGCTCTTGCATTGCAGGATGCCTTGTCCGCAGCTCTTACATAAGAGCCTTTTGAAGCCGTGCCCGGCCCGTCCATCTCGGACCTGCCAGCTTGAGAAGGTACATTGTGCCATCTGTCGGACGGCCCTGTGTTACCTACCAGTATCAGACAAACCATTTGTCTTTTCGCAGCTGCTCGCACTCAGTGCAGCACTTGCCGGTGATGCCCTGGCAAGATGCGGACGCAAGCTGCTACACTCCAGTGCGCACGTAGCGCAAAATACCCTCTTGCGCTCAACAAAGCATCCAACTGACCAGCACAGAACTGCGCCACGTGCGTCGCTTGAAAAAACAACCCATCAGCTGCGTGTCGAGAGACCTCTTGGCTCTGCACTGCATCAGCTTCCACATGGCCGCCGTTTGGCTTGAGCCCCTGCACAGTAAAGCAATGAAAAGCACTTCTGGGCTCCTCCATGTCAATAACACTGCAATGGTAGCAGCTAATGCGCAGATCCAGCCTGGAGTTCGATGCCATCAGCATGCTGCGAATGCGCATCGGTGCACGGCGGCGTGCTGTGCTGAGGAACTTGCTCACGTGCTGTTGCTTCCTCCGTGGAGGCACTTGCCTGCGGCTTGGAATCGCTGAGCAGAAAAGAATACTAGAGGAGAAACATTGCGCTCCCACTGTCTATTGTGGGAAGGGGGCCCCTGACCCCACCTCCCCAACTGCCTACGACAGCCCAAAGAGCAAAGAAGGCAGGGGAAAGGAACAAGTACGCTAACACGACTCCCGGGTGCCGGCAGCCCCATGCAAAACACAAACTACGAGGAGTGTGACCACATGAAAAGCAAAGTTTAGGGGAGGCCTGACGGGAAAGGATGTTGGAAGCTCGTTTTTTGTTGATTGGTGGTACTGGCTGGTCAAGGGTTTCTTCAAAAACAGTGGCCCACGTCATACATCGTGTCTCGGGATCTCAATCGTTCGCGGGAGGGACTTTGGGAATCTTCCGGCACATTGTTCTCAATTCGGGGAATGTTCGAGTGGAAAGCATCAACGCCCGACCTGCTCTTCGTCCTTGCCATCACATCGAACAAACCTCATGGAAGAGCAATGTCTGAGTTTCCTGACTCACCATGAGCACCACACGCACCTGTTGCTTCGTTCAAGGCGATGTACACAATCCTCGGGATCACACAAGGACGGAGCTCCGGACACACTATGGACTTCATACGCTTTTCTTGGGCTTACGATTTCCCTATCCTTCCTCCTGCTTCCTAAACGCCATCTTTGCCCAAATGCCAAGCAAAGCAAAATCTGAGTATGATCCGAGGATGTCTTGATGCAATACGAAGCTTCTTCGTAAACCAAGAGCAACACCCGGAAACCCTTGCTGCCCTTGCTCGGAACGACGCCCAAGGCCGCAAAGCACCGATGCAAACTCAGTCAGCCAAATTGGGCTAGGCACACGTAGATGATGAATTTCTTCTTTGGCTTTCTGCAGTTCACACCTGCCGGCAAATTCTGCAGAATCAGGTTCCACGCGTCCTGACCTGGAAACGTATATGGGGCACTCCCATGTGGTTACAATTCAAGCACTGCTTCAAGCAAGAAAAGACGAGATTGTTTACAAGCTCGTTTCTGCGTCACTTTCTTTTGAGCATCGTGGCTAGGTCATTGCTGCACCAAGGCTGGCTGCGCATGACTGCTTGAGCAACTTGCCGAAAAGCACCCTAAAGCATCTGACAAGTAACTCAGAAAACTTCCCCTCAAGCTTTTCGCCGCATTGCTCTGGAGGAGGGTAATTGGCGGATTGGGATTCTAGGGGGTTGGGCACTCCAGGGATACTCGGCGGGACTAGCTGTGGGATGTTCTTGCGGGTGGGCACTCCAGCGACCAGGCTAGCAAACCGGGCGGGACACCGGGCGAAGCGAGGAGTGAGCGAGGAGAAGGGTTGTCTCAAAATTTAAGCATTGCAATTCTCGGTGTGGGTGGAGAACGGCTAGAGACCAGAGCGATCTTAGCCGCTTGGCATTGTCTTCTGGGCCTTGCAGCCGCCACATCCTGCCACCACTAACCGCAGACTCAGGCGCCTTTTTCGATGGGGATGGCGAGCTGGGACATGGGGTCCACGTCACTTCTCCAACTTTTCAAGCAACTTGCTTGCACTGTGAAAAACGAGTAGAAGTTAATACCAGCAATGCCAATGCAAAAATTGCCCATGTCCAAGCCCATCACCAACCTAGACCTAGCCATTACGTCCGAAAGCTACAAACCCTGCGCGACAAGGTGTCTGGAGCCTTTTGCATGTCCATACAAAGATGACCGTCCTACTCGTCTGCTTTCCATGATCGCGTTCTCCTTCACTGAAAGTTGTTCCAAGGCATACATCAACTCAATTGCCCGCCAAACTGATTCTCTTTGCTCACGGGCAAGATATCCATACAGAAAGCAGTTGGAGTTGAGGAACAAGAGAAACAAAGCTTTGAAGTCAATCGACAGAAAACACTTGCTGCTCAGCTTTACACGAAATTCTGGAACTCGGCTATGTGTACCATCTGAAACAAGGCCACATGAGGCAGAATCTCCCTCTGGACGCGATTCTCGAAGCTTTATCCTTGTCGTCTTCAACTGTTCAATTCGCATCTTGTTGGTGCTATACAGTTCAAGTAGGGCTCTAGAAACATCAAAAGAGAACACATCGACAAACCTTGTCTGATGTCCTTGACGGATAGCTGCTGGCTCAGACTAGTAAACACCCAAAAACGCTGAGCATGCGAGATGCTGGTTGTAATCCATTGGTGTAGGCCTCAAGTTGGCAGAAGTGCGCTGCTCGGCTTGCAGAGCCTCGAGATTCTCAAGGAATCGAGAGGCGCAAAGGACGGGGTAGGACGGCGAACCGGTGCTGCACCTGGTACAAATCGCTGATGGTCCAGCTGCTTGCTGAATTCTTCTCCTCACCTGAAGTCAGATGCACAGCAGGCTCCGTTGCTTGCTGCCGTGTAGAGCAAGTTCTGCCATGAGAGGCCACAGTATACGTAAGCCCAGGGCCATGTGAAACGATCATGACAAGAGCTTGAGAACAACTTCACAAGACGAGGGGATGCTCATGCCATACCAATGGCAGCTAGATATTCCAACTATTGACGTTAGACTCAGCAACTGACATAAAGGTTAATCATTCAGGTCGTGCTTACAGCAACTTGTTTAACTTTACAACCTATGTTACCCCAACAGCCTGGGCAAGCGTGCTTCTATGTGCTTGGACATGCGGCCACCGCCGCGGCAGTGTGCTGGACACGCAATTTGATTCACCACAAGCTGACCCATGCATGAGCCAAGGAGGAGTGCCTTGAAGTACTCCTGCACTACCAACGCACAGCACACAGCACCCAGGTGGGATGGTCTTCTTTTCACACATTCTACGCCCAAGGTTGGGTTTAACTGGGCGTGAAGGGGGTGCCCAGCAGCTGACCTTGGTCGATTGATACATGTGAGACAACAACCTGGGCGAAGCTCCAGGATTCCGGCTCATGGCATGAGAAATCTTGATATTGATCTGGGCGAAGTTTTGGTCGGTTGCCAAGTTCCTCAACTCATGCTTAAAATGAACAAAACAGACCACGACTATAACGTCTTGTAGGAGGGCACCCAAACACCGTGGCCCCTGCGCATGGTACATCAGCACTGCGCTTTCAACGTCCTGCCCCGCAACACATCATGGCATCTTGTCGTCGGATTGTGTGGTGGAGCCTCCGACGTTAAACTGAACTGCGTCTCAAACTTGGATCCGATGATCGCCTTCAACCCCAGAAAGCAAGGCAAGAAAGGCAAGGCAGCTCAGCGCTGATGGCGTGGACCCTGCTGTGCCTGTGCCGCGATGGTGACAGTTTTGGTGTCGAAGGCCTTGCACTGATGATGCTCTACCCTAAACCGGAAGAGTGGGCCAACACTACAGATTTGCAAGTGATACAACTTGTTCCGCCGTGCCGTCATGACATCATTCCATTGTGCATGAGCTTCTGAAATGTAAGCCGATGGAGAAGCCACTACATGACAACAAGCAGCAGAACACACCTCCTTTCTTTCAGAACCAGAATGCTCCTTAATCAGCTGCTGCAGCTCCTGGAAGCAAACAGCCTAAGCAACCGACATCACAAACGTCACACCACTGGGAATATCACATCTCCAATTTAACTGCACGGCATCGATGATCCTGGAGCATGAACGTGTGGATGTCGATGATGTCTTTCACGCTGATGGACTGCAATGATGCGGCCAGCAGTAGCTAAAGAGCGGGCCTAAAGAGTGGGCGCACGCACTTCCTTGAGAGGATGGCAGCCTGGATCTTGTCAGACACGGCATTTGTTGGATTTGGCCTCGCGTCAGCTAAGCAAACGCGGATGCGCTGACAAGCTTGACAGCCTTCCCAACCACAACCACTCCACAACTCAACAACCACTCCACAACCACTCCACAACCTGAGCCTGGTGCGCACCCATGATTTTTGCAATGGCATCGCCTTGCCAAAGATCAGACGCCGCAGGCTAATTTGAATGGTCACGTGGGGCGCTGGCGCACATCGCTGTCATGCTGATGTTTCAAGAGAAGCTTGTCAAATTCCATGACTTTCCTTAGAAACAGATATAAGGAGCGCTTTGCTTGAATGCGTGCTTACATAAGCCCCCAGCAAGCCACGACTTTCTAAAGGGTCTGCCGGCCTCATGATGCATGGCACACTCAAAAGCTGCTGCAACACTGTACTCCACCGACCCGACCCATGGCAACTGGGCAAACAGCTGAACTTGTTTCACTCGCTGACAGGTCTCATGGAAGCTCAATGCTGTTGTACCCAGCTCCTCCAGACATCATGGCATGTGAGCCTTGTTGGGTTCCGGGTGCAACAGTTGCGAGGTGTTCATGTCGATTCTGACAACGCTTTCGGAAGCTTCCATTTCTTGGGATTTTCGGCATTGTAAAGACCGCACCCTCTTCATGGCAGCTGGTGCAATATGTTGGGCTTCTGCCTTGGGCTTGCACCGGACAGGTCCGGATATTTGACCTGCTCAAAAACCATACGGTGCTTCAAACTGTTGTCGCCATGCCTGGCAAACACAAGTAGCGAAGCACATAGGCAACAGCAAACAAACTCATGCAAGTAAGATTCCGCACAGCTGCATTGCAAGCTCCTGCGTCAAGTCCTTGATGAAACTTTTCATTTGTTCCTGCCACAACATTTCATTTCGAAAATCCTAATACAAAACCTCGAACCGGACGAAGGCCTGGCACTTGATCATGTCTTTCAAGATTTGCTTGAGCTGCTCTTTGGCCAAGCCCTGCAAGACTGCACCGTTGCGTAAACCCAAGAAACGGCCAACATCCGCGTCCTCACCATCATCGTTTTCATTTCGCTTTTGCTTGTCCTCCTTCCCAAAAAAGCTCAAGATGTCAAAGTATAAGCCTGGCGATACGGGCGTTGTCACCGTGACCGTTGCCTCGCCCCTCGAGTCATCGAGGGCCACGGGTCTTGCCCGAGCCTGGTGCAGACATGCTTGGGCTGGGCAAGAGCTTTCATCCCAGACATCACAAAAGCACAACTGCATCGGCGCCTTCCGCAAGTACCAAACAACGGCAACTGCACAAGACGCAGCACCAGCAGCGAGCAAAGGCTTCCGCCATTCCATGACGAAAGCTTACAAGCCAATTAAATTGTTTTATGCAAAACCGCCGTAACCTTTACAAAATCCCATAGTACCCGTATCTCACATAATGTACATGCAAGGTGCTGCAACTACAACGATTTCTCTACATGTGGAGAAGCAATATGCGCAAGCGTACAAGAGCGCAGGCCAGACACAGATTGTCGCCCTGACGTGGTTTGTGCAAACTCACACTAAAGGGTGGGACGGGCGGGTAAAACTTTATGACAAATGAACTCAATGCAAAGGCATGCATCTGCCTATGCATGAGCGAAGCTACACTCGAGCAGCTGAGTGGCTAGCATATTTGCCAAAAGTGAAAGCTGAACACCGCAAAGTAACACAGATTTGAGCAAGCACAAACTTGGTGTTTTTGCCTAACGGCAAAGTGGGGCTGCGAAGCACTCTCTGTTAGTCATTGGACACCAAAGGCAACAATCTCGTCGAACACGACTGTACGGGAGACGGGTTCAAAATTCGTGTTGTCTACTACTAACTACTACTACTACTACTACTACTACTACTACTACTACTACTACTACTACTACTACTACTACTACTACTACTACTACTACTACTACTACTACTACTACTACTACTACTACTACTACTACTACTACTACTACTACTACTACTACTACTACTACTACTACTACTACTACTACTACTACTACTACTACTACTACTACTACTACTACTACTACTACTACTACTACTACTACTACTACTACTACTACTACTACTACTACTACTACTACTACTACTACTACTACTACTACTACTACTACTACACTACTACTACTACTACTACTACTACTACTACTACTACTACTACTACTACTACTACTACTACTACTACACTACTACACTACTACTACTACTACTACTACTACTACTACTACTACTACTACTACTACTACTACTACTACTACTACTACTACTACTACTACTACTACTACTACTACTACTACTACTACTACTACTTCTACTACCCGGCGGCGCGCAAACTGAACCCTGTTCGTCTGTGAAACATGTGTTTCGCCTAGGCGGCAGCTCTATTTTGTGGTTAAAGAGTCATGTTTCCGTTTAAGGACCCTAAACCCTAACCTAAACCCTAAACCCTAAACCCTAAACCCTAAACCCTAAACCCTAAAAAGTGTGTACGGTTAAAGCGCCGCTGGCTACTACTACTACTACTACTACTACTACTACTACTACTGCTACTACTACTACTACTACTACTACTACTACTACTACTACTACTACTACTACTACTACTACTACTACTACTACTACTACTACTACTACTACTACTACTACTACTACTACTACTACTACTACTACTACTACTACTACTACTACTACTACTACTACTCCTACTACTACTACTACTACTACTACTACTACTACTACTACTACTACTACTACTACTACTACTACTACTACTACTACTACTACTACTACTACTACTACTACTACTACTACTACTACTACTACTACTACTAGGGGTATTGCGCGTATTTGACGCTGTGTCATCCTTCATTTTCCATGTTTTCCCATGTTCTTCCAGAGACGAAAACACTGCTATTTGCAGTGTTTTCTGCTCATGCATTGAATGCTATGCCACACTCCGCCAATTCCCAACGGCGACGCCCATGAGGGCCTTTCGATTTTTTGTGAGGGTCTTCGGTTTCCCATGAGGGCCTTTGATTTCCCATGAGGGCCTTGCCCCAATAATTTGTGATTAAAATTGGCTTTGGCTTGGCTTGGCTTGGGGGGGTGGGGGGGGCTTGGGGCTGGGGGGGGGGTGACCTGGGGTTTTGGGTTTAAGGCTATAGGAGTTTTGGCCTGGCACTTCAAGCTTCGGGATTTCTGGTTTTCGGTTTCAGGGTAGACGAGTTTTGAGCTTGCACTTGAAGCTTCGGGGTTTGGGGTCTAGGGCTTAAGGGTACACGGCTTTTGGGCCTCCACTTGAAGCTTCGGGGTTTAGGGTTTAAGGGTCCAGGAAATTTGGGTTTCCACTTGAAGCTTCGGGGTTTGGGGTTTAGGCCTTAAGGGTACCGGAGTTTTGGACTTGCACTTGAAGCTTCGGGGTTTGGGGTTTAGGGCTTCAGGGTCCAGGAATTTTGGGCCTCCACTTGAAGCTTCGGGGTTTGGGGTTTAGGGTCCAGGAAATTTGGGCTTCCACTTGAAGCTTCGGGGTTTGGGGTTTAGGGCTTAAGGGTCCAGGAATTTTGGGCCTCCACTTGAAGCTTCGGGGTTTGGGGGTTAGGGCTTAAGGGTCCAGGAATTTTGGGCCTCCACTTGAAGCTTCGGGGTTTGGGGGTTAGGGCTTAAGGGTCCAGGAATTTTGGGCCTCCACTTGAAGCTTCGGGGTTTGGGGTTTAGGGTCCAGGAAATTTGGGCTTCCACTTGAAGCTTCGGGGTTTGGGGTTTAGGCCTTAAGGGTCCAGGAATTTTGGGCCTCCACTTGAAGCTTCGGGGTTTGGGGGTTAGGGCTTAAGGGTCCAGGAATTTTGGGCCTCCACTTGAAGCTTCGGGGTTTGGGGGTTAGGGCTTAAGGGTCCAGGAATTTTGGGCCTCCACTTCAAGCTTCGGGGTTTGGGGTTTCGGGCTTAAGGGTACACGGCTTTTGGCCCTTCACTTGAATTTGGAGGTTTGGGGGCGTCCCTCATTCTCAACGCTGCTTCTCCCCGTGCAACTTTCGTGGTCTTTGTCTGGCACTCATTTTGGAGTACCTGCATAGGTAGTGCAAGTCTCCAGCCGGTGGCCCGGCTGCCCACACACACGGCATCTATGTCTGTGCTGCTTCGGCATGGCTTTCCTTTCGCATTCGAGCATGGAAACAAGCGAAGACAAGTCCGAGATTGCAGCCTTGACCTTACAAGACAGGAAATTCATGTAATTGGCGTCGTCGTTGGGAAATGAGCACTCTGCCCAAGAACGCTGGTTTTACCGATGGAAAAGGCACTTCGGACGCAGACGGACGCGGCGTCAAATACGCGCGGAGCGCGTACTACTACTACTACTACTACTACTACTACTACTACTACTACTACTACTACTACTACTACTACTACTACTACTACTACTACTTACTACTACTACTACTAACTACTACTACTACTACTACTAACTACTACTACTACTACTACTACTACTACTACTACTACTACTACTACTACTACTACTACTACTACTACTACTACTACTACTACTACTACTAACTACTACTACTACTACTACTACTACGCCGACTACTACTACTACACTACTACACTACTACTACTACTACTACTACTACTACTACTACACTACTACTACTACTACTACTACTACTACTACTACAACTACTACACTACTACGACTACTACACTACTCTACTACCCTACTACTACTACTACTACTACTCCTACTCCTACTCCTACTCCTACTCCTACTCCTACTCCTACTCCTACTCCTACTCCTACTCCTACTCCGACTCCGACTCCTACTCCTACTCCTACTCCTACTCCTACTCCTACTCCTACTCCGACTCCGACTCCGACTCCCACTCCTACTCCTACTCCTACTCCTACTCCTACTCCTCCTCTCTCTCCCACTCCCACTCCCACTCCCACTCCCACTCCTACTCCTACTCCTACTCCTAGTCCCACTCCTACTCCTACTCCTACTCCTACCCTACTCCTACTCCTACTCCTACTCCTACTCCTACTGCTCACTACGACGACGACTACTACAACTACGACTACTACGACTACTACGACTACTACGACTACGACTACTACGACGACTACTACTACTACGACGACGACTACTACTACTACTACTACGACGACGACTACTACAAGACGACTACTACAACTACGACAACTATACGACAACTACGACTACTTCGACTACTACTATGTGAAGTCGACCAGTCACTGGTCTTGCACAAGCAATGCAAACGCAGGCTGGCCACGCTGTTTTACGACTTCGCGGGATCACCAGCTCTGAGGTGCCCTACGGCCGAGCGTCCGGTCGGACCGCTCTGCAACCTAAAAGCTACAGAACGAAACTACCGAGCACAACGGCTACAAGACTATCTCGTACTTGAGCCAAAATTGGCATTCAACCGAATTGCAAAACTGTACATGCAAAGTGAAAGCAAACTACCGCACTGCAGCTGAGCACATGATGCATGTGTGCTGTGACCTGCTCACATTCGCCCCTCAGCCGAGGCTCCCAGCTCATCGTTGCAAATGAGCACAAAGTGCATCATGCACTTGATCAATGCGAGAAGGGGAAGGGCGAGGGCGTCGCGTGCGACCATGGTGGTGCACATCATGAGCAATGGCATATGCGGCAGGGAAGCTAGCCCGCACCACCCAAACGAACGCACAACGACAACTGCCCTTTACTACCCTAAAGCACCCCTGGCAAGAGAGACCTCCACCTTTTGAGCAGGAAGGCGAGGCTCCTGGGTTTCTATGCAGGTCTTGCTGCTGCAAGTGCGAAATCTATAGTACACTGTACAACTACCGGTCCTAAGCTACGGCTACGGCTACTCACCTATCTGGAACTACCCTACGGGCTACCGGACTCAGCGAGAGCCGCGCACATAGCTTGTGCCGCAGCATGGCTACTCACGCGCGCTTTGGTGAGCGCCACGCCGCAACCTGGACACGGTCCGCGTGCGTCAGATGTGTGTCTGCAGCCGGCGCAGAAGTTCGGGTTGCTTGCGGGACTTCGGTCCGCAACGTCTACGCATGAGCCTATTGAAGGCTCTGGGTGAGGCAGGCAGGGCCTTGCAAAGGCAGAACAAGGCTTGGCGGAGGCGGCATGAAGCGAACCGCACTGCACGGGAACCACGCCGTGCTGGTTCTAGGGCCAAGCGCAGCAATAATGCCCACGGCAAAGGCTCCCCACAAGTACTTGCCTTTGCCTTTGGGCTTCCCTTTGCCCTTGCCCTTCTCTGGCCTTTGCCCTTGCCGCGGGCTGGA